GGAAACAGAAAAGGAAGAGCGAGAAATTATATTTATTTTAAGTTAATTATTTTATTTTAATTAATATGTTATTAAATGTATTTATTTGAAATTTATTTTTCGAAATGTATTTAAATAAAAAAGTTTTTTTTAAATCTTGATAAAAATTATGGTGAAAACAGCAAAAAAAAAGGGATTTATTGCAAAAAAAAAGGATGGAATTATTCAACTTAAATTTCTATTTTATTGTCATTCATATATGAAAGTGATTTTCATATTTTACATTTGTTTGTTTGAATTGATATTTTTAATGTTGCATCACAACATTTAGACAACGTATGAGTTCTCAGGGGCAGAAAATTTTGATTTTTAATAAAATGCTGGAGATGGTTGTACTGATGACATCTGTCCACGCTCTTCTGGAGACTTTTTTTAAATTAAAAAAAAATCCACTACATTTTCAAGTGAGAGCAAGTGTCTGTCTTTACAGATATGACTTTTGTTTGAACATTATGAACTTGATCGTGTACTTTTGCAGATTTAAAGAACAAGAAGAGAGAAGACGTTTGCAGCCTGTCCTGAACAGCCCGAGGCAGAAGAAAAAGAGAAATAATTTAATCAGCGACGGACAGAAACACAGTCTAGATGTCGCGCAAGTGAGACTGGGTGATTTGATGTGATCTAATGCACACGCACACACACAGAGGGAGTCATGCAGAGTTTCCATCGTTCTTTTGCTTCTGTGGTTTCCTCTGAAGACCCTCGCTCTGCTGTGTGGGTGTACAGGTGTGAAGATGTGACTAAAAACAAAAAAGACAAAGTATCCAAGTGACGTGTTTACAAACCACTTCACTCAGTTAAGTAAGAAAGTAAGAAAACAACAACAAAAAAAGAAATCAGTTTCCGTCTCGTCTTCCTGTGGTCAGGTGACCCCTGGACCACGATGTGTCTGACGTGAACTTCCTTTATAGACATGACTTTTATTATCACCTTCACTGTGGAGACTACTTCATCACAGCCCACTGTCTGTTACCAGCTGTGATCGGACATCTTCACTAACAGGTTCAACGTCATGGTTAATGATATTTGATCTCCAATAGCGTCACCTGCTGACGACTTAGTCAAACTCATCCAACTAACTGCATGATAAACAGTTCACTTTCTTCATCCTCAAAACACTTGTTCGTTTGTTGGTTTGGCTTTTTTTTATAATAAATGTGAACTGAACAAACTGAGTAACTAACTACTACAACTAGTACCACTACTACTAATACTACTACTACTTCTACTACTATTTATAATAATAATAACATTAATATTTCATATGTTTTGTTTTATGTTGTACTCACTTCACATAAAGTAATAAACTTTAATTTTAATAACAGCCCAAATCAGGACTGTGTTTATTCTCAAGTTCTATTCAACACTGAAGAGTTTTTCCTTCTGGCCTTGAAGTGTTAACAGTTATAAACCTGTATGTATTACATGTTGATGTTCACATCTCTATTTCTCAAATGTCTGTTCATCCTTCTTTAGTCAAAAACCAGTTCAACCCAGTTTGAGTTTTGCTCAGTCACGTCTGTGTGTCTCACAGTCAATCGACTGAAGACTAAAAGCTGGAACAACACGGACGTGTCGTCAGAAAGAGTGGAGAAAAACTGTTCATTTTTTAATGACGGACCTCACCGTGACGGGGAGAGAGAGAGAGAGACAGAGAGAGAGAAAGAGAGAGAGAGAGAGAGAGAGAGAATGTGTCCATGACTGCACAAACAGTATCTGACTGAGAATTAATGAAGTGGAGGGAGGTTTACACCCACAGGGAACAAAAAATACTTTTCTCCGTCTCCACAAAAAACGACTTCCCTAAAAATAGTAGTTCATGGTCGTGGACAGAGATTCTTATGACTGAATCTTTAATAAATCTAAATCTGTCATCACTTTTTCATATTGTCAAACAGCCTAGTGTCACAGAGCTCTCTCTCTCTCTCTCTCTCTCTCTCTGATTTTACACATTCAACAAAGTCATACATATATATTTATAAATAATAAATCTCACAAGAATCTTTTCTAAATTGAAAGTTTACTGTCGTAGCAAATGTTTGTTCGACAGAGTTGAACCTTTTCGTCACTTTCAGTTTCACCGTGAGACTCGTTTATTCTTAAATCTTTATCATGCAGGAGAAAAAAAAGGAGAGATGACGAAAGAGGAGGTAGGAAGAGGAATAGAGGAGAGAACAGATTTTCATACACAGAGATCTCACCGTCAGCATCAGCAGCATCAGCAGCAGCAGCAGCAGTACTGCAGTAGAGAGTTTGAGTGAGTGGTGTTTGCTCTCATGCAGTATCATCTCCTCGGAGAGGATGAGTGTTCGGCTGCACAGGTCAACAGGCTGCACACAGGACCGAGAGAGAGAGAGAGAGAGAGAGAGAGTCAGAAAATGTAACGGTTATTTTACTAATTACTAATCACGAGTACTGACGTAGAGATTGGAGTTTTTCTAACAAACGATTAAAACAATATGAAGTATATTTGAAGTACCGAGTCCATGTCAAGTTTTTACTCCTCAGATTGTGCTGTGGGAAACACAAGTGAACAATTGAAGTGAAGGCAGGAGACAAGCTGTGAGTCAGTGTGTGGTCTGAGTGTGATGACAGTAAAAATGAAGAGTATGAGTGGGGGGTGGGGGGGGCTTCCTGTCAATGGTCAATGTCAATGATTGACTGTGTGTGAACAGAGAGAGAAAAGTCAAGGCTGAGTGTGTGTGTGGGTGTGTGTGTGAGAAAGAGTTAACAGGAAGTGTCGCTGCAGCCCCTGCAGTGTGAGAGTGAACATGTGAGAAGAAGCCACGACGTCAGTGTCTCAGCGGTGGAAGATCAAGATCACAGTTACCTGCTCTCACACTGTGGACTCACACAGGGTTTATTGGTACTTTTACACTTACTTTTAGAGTGAGTTTGTGAAATGACTGTTGTATTACTGCAAACGTTATGTACAAACTGTACACAGTGACATTTAACAAAAGCCTTTTGTTGAGTACAATAAATTTGATTGAATTATTTCACCTAAAAACATTTTTGAATTTTTCTGTTTCAGTTCTTCATTTACTTCAATTAATAACTATTATTAGAGACTGATACATTTCTATTGGAAGGTGACTACAGACAGTGACACCAACGTCTGACAAAAAGAAGAAAAAAAAAATCTCAAATATTTATTTGACAAAAACTTTTACAAAAATAAACCTGTGCTGCCCAAGAAAAACAAATAACGTGCATTTGATAAAATAAAATCTGTGTGATTCCTGCATGTTAAAGTGTAAGAACTTTATCTTTAGTCACATCATTTTTTTAACTGACTCTTAGATGCTGCTCTGAGATACAAGAATAATTCAAAAAAAAGTTCCAAGATAGACAGATATTATCATTTCAAAAAAACATTTTTTTTAAACAAATCAAACATGATAAGCCACGTCTCTCGGGCGTCTTCAAAAAATCATTTTCTGCCTTTATTTCACGCACTCTTAACGACAACTTGTGTCGACTCGGGTCCTACCTGGACAAAGATGGGGAAGATGAGGATCTTAGGAGCCGCTTTGACATATCCGTAGTTGGCGTGTGGAGCATGTGAGCGGACGATGGTACAGTTCTGGTAATTGGCAAAGTTAGAGCTCTGCTGATGGTAGTTTGAGAAACCAGCGTTGGTGGAGCTGTGAGACGACTTCGACTTGGAGTTGTTGGACCGTCTTAAGAAGCTGGTTCGACTTGAGAAACCACCACCACCAGGACCACCACCAGGACCACCACCACCGCCACCATCTCCTCCGACAACTCCGGAAAAAGAACTGTGACCACCACCAAGACCACCACCTCCCTGCGATTGAGGACTGGAGGACTGCCGTCCTCTGGCGGTGTAGAGTCTGGCAGCTGAGGAAGAAAAAGTCGGAGATCACTGACGGTACACTCCAAAAACAATTAACAGTGGAGGAGCCAGGAGACACTTAACTTAGCATAATGGCTGCAGTTAGAGGCATCTAACTCTGCCCAAAGGTGATTAAATCCACCCACATCACATCACTATAGTGGTCCAATATCACAGAGTTTTTCTGTTCCTCCTGTCTCACAGCTCCATGTCCAACATGTTTTATAATTTTCCTCCTCAGCACATCCACACCATAATAACCTGGTCTCTCTGGATTCGTCTCTAAAGTAGTAGCCGTTCTCTGCTTTATCTTCCTGTTTCTGTTTTACCATCACCATTATCATCTTCCATCCAGTCTCTATCAGCATCTTCTCACTCTCACTACAAATGGGCAAATACATGTCCAACGGTGTCCAAGATAACCAATCAATCACCATTGTTACCCCTACCCAGAACCCATCTGTCTCTAAGACTGCACATTTCCCCATTGTCTTGTTGTTTTCCATATGCCACCATCATGTTATTTTCTGACACCTCTGATTCCCTCACACAGATTGTTCCTCTTTTTTTTCAAATTTAAACTCAACAGACCTGGTTTAATGTAAAATATAACTACAAAAAGTACAAGTAAAAATTTGATTTGGGGTCAGAATGACCTCGAGGACGACACAAGGGTTGGTCTAAACCAGTGGTTCTCAAACTGTGGTAAGCGTACCACCAGTGGTACGTGAGCGCTCTCTAGTGGTACGTGGGGAAAACCACACCATACCATGCATAATTAATGCAACATTTAAACATAAACATCTTAATAAACATTTCTAAACATCTCTCTTGTGGTGTGAGGCTAACAGTGAAAGCCTCTGCTGCTGTTTTCTAATGTTGGTCGTCATGGTGGTACTCAGAGAGGTCAGTGTTTTCTCAGGTAGTACAGAGTAGAAAAAGTTTGAGAACCACTGGTCTAAACCAAAGAGTGACGTCTGAATTATAAAGAACATTTACCACCAGTCTTCATTGGAGACGACGTACGAAGATGAGCTCTTACCTATCGTTCCCTGGTTGTCTTGGTAAACAGGCCTTAAGATCTGAAAGCAGAGTAATATGACACTGTGTTTAAATAGAACTTGTTCCATCTCACGTCCAAACTACAACTAGGATGAAATGATGCAACGCACATACAACGACGACGGTGTGAGACAGTGGGAACTATGGACGTCTGCCACACCGTCACCTCTAATGTGACAGTGATTATTGTTGTATTAAATCTATAAAAGGACCTGGATCAGAAATGACGTCGTATTTTCTCATCGTAGTAAATAACAGCTGCAACTACAACAGGACTTGTTGATCAACTAGAGATTCTTATATGAAAAGGAGCGTCAGTTTCCACAACCCGTTCCAAACTGCCCAGGATTCATGACGCTTCCCGCCTGTCATAACACATTATGATCAAGTGAGGGAGTAGAGAGCAAAGGTTGCCGTCACGTCACGTCTCTTGGATCAACCAAGGACACAAACTATGAGAAGGAGTGGGGGCGGGTGGGGGTTACGTAGAGTCATTTCCTTCAAGTTTAGGAAAAATGATACGGCCAATTATTTTGTCGGCTTTGTTTCTTTTCCAATTCAATTCATAATATTTACTCTAAAGTCGATCTTTTGTAACATTCTGAACAAGACGAAAAAGAGAGGAAAAAAAAGACACTGCGAGTCGTGCACACACGAGCACACAGCTTCCACTGGATGATAAAATCAGTACACGGAGGAAAAGACATGGAAACGAAACAATGCGGCTTCACTATCAACCACACACAGAGCAGCGAGAGGACTTAGTTTGTTAGAAACTGTTTTTTTTTTGTTTTTTTTGGAATTCTAGATTGCAATCAATAAAAAGACAAGGCCCCGCAGGGAGACCAAGTCAAAAACATCACAGCTGTTTCTGCTCCAGCCCTTGTTTGTTCCCCTGAGGATGTTGATTGGTTAGTAGTTATTAGGGTTGTTAGCTGAGGAATTCAGTTCAGCCTTATTTGATTTGATCACTTTTCTTTATTTCTTTTTTATTTATATATTTTTTTTAAATTTTATATACACGATGTCATACGCATCCATAAGTACATGCAAAATAAAACATCATGTACATGCCATACACTGCATGTACACAGAATACTTAATGTTAAAAACCTGCACATAATGCAATGCTGTAGTCTTTGGATGATGAGGATTTTTGTGTTTTTTTTTGTTTGATTTGTTTTTTTTTTGTTTTTTGCTCCTTTTAATTGCATTTATAAGGAAACATATGTTTGCTAAATATTTCCAGATGTTTTTTTTTCATACGTGGCCCTAATTACCTGGTATAACTGCACATGGTACGTCATCTCTGGTCCCTGAAGGGAACTCCTGTGGGATTAATAAAGTTCTTTCTATCTCAACACCCACTGTAATAAAATGCTCATAATGCGTTATTGGTTTTGCTTCCTCATCACTACCTTTGGCTTCTGAGCTGAACCTGATGTCGTCTTCTCGCGTCGCGTGGTTCTGTGAGTATAAACAAACTAAGGAGACGGTGTTGACCCAGCTGGATACCCGTACACACAGTCCTTCTATCTATCAGCACTAGGGATGTAAGGTAAGGAGACGTATCTAGGATGAGTGACCATATGACCGTGGTGATGATGAGGAGGACGGAGAAGATGATGACAGTGCAGTCCACCGCCAGTCTGCGCTACCTGGCTTCCGGTGTTGATTGGCGCCAGAATGATGTAGTTGTCCCCGTTGGAGGCCTTCACCCTGGTACCCTTCAGCGTGGTGGTGTGAGGGTGGTTGAGGAGCCGCGGGCCCCCGTCCAGCTCCTCAGACGACCCCCCCTGGGCCCCCCATGCAAGTGTTCCTATTCCCAAACCACCGCCGGTTCCGGTCTCAGAGCCGTTGACCAGCAGTCTGCGGGTGGTGCGGTGGTGGGCCGGAAGGGGTGGAACAACCGGGGGGGTTTTGCTCGTGCCGACGTCCGGTGCACGTCTGCGAGTGGGGGGCGAAGGCGTGTCATAGTTTGAGGTGGATGGTTTGTATGAAGGCCGGTGAATGAGGCCGTCAAAGTTAGGCTTGGCTGAGGGTCCGGTGCGCCACACCACCACCGTGATCTCACTGACACTGTTCCTGTGGATGAAGACGGAAGATGGAAATCAAACTCATTTTGTAATATTTGATTTTTTTTTTCTATGTTTGGCTCTACTGAGTGACGCCAGGGTTTAGTTACACTGTCCAATGTTTTGGGACTGGATCGATGTGTAAGGGGAGAGAGAGATTTCCCCTGGATATGTTACACAAATAAATTATATTTTATTTAAAAAAAGAAAAGTCAAATAAAGGAGACACAATTTGCTTCTTTTATGTGCCCTTGGTGGCTCAATTACACGTTAGAAACAAAATCATTTGGTGTAAAAATAAAAAAAGCATTAAGTGCAGCTGACATAACAGCCGGTGAGGTAGGCTTTCTGCATCCCATTTTGGCAGGTACGGTAAATCAGCAAGAAGGACAAACTGTGGTCTAACAATGTGTGTGTCTGTGTGTGTGTGTGTGTGTGTGTGTGTGTGTGTGTGTGTGTGGGCCGAACTCAGGCCCAGAACAAGAAGAAGCTCCAGAAGAGACAAAAATAAATCTGGATGTTTTGGCAGTGGTTATTAACCAAGTTTCTGACTTTATTATTACATTTATGTCAATATCTAGAGGAGTGTTTTTCAACCTGGGGGTCGCGACCCCACATGGGGTCGCACGGAATTCAAATGGGGTCGCATGAAATGTCTAGTAATTTAAAGAAAATTAAAAATGTGACTAAAAACACCGCACACGATCTTGATTATATTCTTTCACTTTCGCACTGTCTGTAGCAATCCAGCAGGTGTGTACGGGTAAAGCTAACAGTGGATTCTCACACAGGTAACAGTAGGTGTATGGGTGGAGTTATACCACGGGGGGCGGGGGGTGGATATTTATAAATGAAATTGTAATGGCTTATTTTGAGATCCATTGCCAGATTGTGTAGGACAACACCTCAAAGAAAACCTGACAAAGTCAAGTCACAAAGTTTCATAAAATGTCTCCTCTGAGTAAGAAGTTTTTTGCAAATCAGAATCATAAAATATAAACATAAAATATTTTAGATTTTTCTGATGTTCCAACTTTACTACCTGATAGCATGAGCTAAGTCTACACACTTCCACTGCTCCACCGGCTGACCGTTGAGCTGCAGAAGAGTGTCCAGCTGCTGGAGACCAGCTAAATCTGCAGGACCACCTATGAGAAAGAAAAAGAAAAAAGCAATTACACACTTTAAAGCTCCAGCTGATGATGCCACAGTGGAGACTATCATCATCATTTAAATGAAGCTTGTTTCATTTGCACGGACAGACAAGGAGACGGATGAAACTGGAAGACAATTTTACTGCCTTATGAAGTCAAATTTTGATTTACCTTCACACAAGTAAAATAGTAAAATAAAATAAGAATGACCAGCATCCTAGTTACTACTACTATGCAGTATTCTGTACATACTGTATTCATACAACTACAGCTGTTTTATGAAACTTGAATGAATATTTTTTTTTCCATGAGATTTCGTTCCATATTCCTTTAAATCAAAATCATATGTTACTGTAAAAAACCATGAGAAATGGTTAGAGTTGGACACAAATCTATGAAAAGTGTGGGTTTTTTTTTTTTTACTGATTTTCTGTGTGCATTTGTATTGGAATGAAATGAATTAATATTTACTTTTTGTAAGTAGACTTGAAATCCAATGTCGGATTATCTTTGTTATTACAGTATTTGGTCCAAAAAAACAAACGGAAGACAAAGAAAAGAAAAAAAAAAACACAAAAACTTCTCCCAGCTGAGCAGCACAATGACATGTGCAGGTGAAACTTGCCTGGATCAACAGCCTGGACCCTCACAGGGGAGTCAGAGCAGATGGTGAAGCCGTATCCATCCTTTCCTCGAAGGATGGTGACCTGCACAGACACACAGACACACAACGTTCATTAATAACAAATAGTACAACACAGACTCTTCTACTCCTCCTTTCACCTACTTATGATACAGAAATAGCCATTCTTACTCTCCCCCCACTCCCCCTCCACACCCTGCTGTCGTAACGGACACTAAGAAAAGTAGAATTAATGGATCATTTATTTTGAAAGACCCAAAGTCCATGTGATTTGAAACAAACTGACTGACAATCTACTACAACCAGGATTAAAAGATTAGAATATATAAAAATATAGACTGGGAAAAACACAAATACATACAAGTAAACATCTAGAACAGTGGTTCTTAAACTGTGGTACGCGTACCACCAGCGCTCTCTAGTGGTACGTGGGGAAAATTTTATATTTTCACATTTACATTTTCAATTGAATAAATCTGAAACATACCACGCACAATTAATACAACATTTAAACATAAACTAATCTTTTATAAACATTTCTAAACATTCCTCCTGTGCGGTGTGAAGCTAACAGTGAAAGCCTCTGCTGCTGTAGTCTAATGTTGGTCATCATGGTGGTACTCAGAGAGGTCAGTGTTTTCTCAGGTGGTACAGAGTAGAAAAAGTTTGAGGACCATACAGCAAGCACCAGGGAAACTTGTAACATCGAGACTTTTAAACCTCTACCTGTAAATGTCCAAGGTGTAAACTACTCCCGAATATGTGCAACATTTAACCTTAATTTAACCTTTGACCTTTGGTCAGTCGTTGTCACTTAATATGTTTAACGCATACTATGTGGTAAACAGAAACGTTGTGGGCTGGCGTTGGCTAAAGGCAGCCTTTGACCTTTGGTCAATCGTTGTCACTTAATATGTTTAACACATACTATGTGGTAAACAGAAATGTTGTGGGCTGGCGTTGGCTAAAGGCAGAGTTGACTGGCCTGCCTGCGGTCCAGAGCTGTGACATGTTAATGTTTGGATCGTTATTATAGACTCATCGAGCTGGAAATAAAGGATCCCAATAATATACTTCTTTACAGAATTGTCAGTGACAAACTTTAGTCAAAAGAAAAAAACTGATCGATCTGCGTATGCCATTCTAGCAGGTATGATAAATTGACAGGACACCGCAGAGCGACAAATACCAACAAGTACCAAAACCCCGACAAAGTCGATTTTACATTCATTAATATGTCCTCCTTAAAGGTGAACTCTGATGACACTTAGTATTTCTCTTTGTTGCTTTGCTGGAAAATCAAGGCTGAAATCATCGACTAAATCACCTACAGTAGATTCTACTGCTCTTTCGGGAAATGTGCCAACATTTCTGGGAAAGTTTTGTAAGACACACTTCTGGTTTGCTCCCATCTGCCACACCAATACACACACAGAGTACACATACATTTCAATGTTGATGCTGATGGCTCTTTTCCATTGTCTTTTCTGCCTGTGACCCCTCTTCGTCATTCAGTGTCTGTGCCGACAAGTCTGAGCCAAAGTCAACAAGGTTCCATCCAAAAACATCTCATTTTCCAACCTTATCTCCTGACTGGCATGCATGAGCCAAGCACACACACACACACACACACACATGCATATTATCTCGCTGTATTTTGTTTTTGCAGTACAGGAAAACAACAAGTTCGTGCTGCAACAAAAATGTCCAATCCCAAGGGCTAGAATGCAGCACATGGACGAACAGGCTGATTATTCTGGGGCCCACAGCTGGTATTGACCCTGAACTGTCAGACGAGATTGCTCTTTCTTATCCTTCACCGATTTTATGAAGTCCACGTTCCTGTTTGTTTGGGGCCAATTTCTTATTCATATCATTCACATTGTATTTAATTACATTCCGGTGGCTTTTGTTTTTGCCTCTGCTTTAGTTCACGTCCAAAGTGAACCAAGGAGAACATTTTAAAATGTATTCACACGACACTGAATGTGTTCCTTGATGAATCAACTTTTACTTCCTTCAACTACTGCCTTGTTCTGTGGAGGTACGTTCGTAATGAATGCATGAGTTTTAACTGATCATCCTCAGGTCTAGACTCGTAAAAAGAAGCAGGAGATAAAAGTGGCAAACCAGAGAAATCAGGTAATGATATGTGGAGGTAATGAAAAATGAGCCGAGGAGATGAAAAATGGTCGACAGAGATATAATGAAAAGATTAAAAAAGGTCAGTGGACTTTGAGGAGTGACGCTGATGACAGAGACAAATGGAGGAGGAGATGACACCAGAAAAACTTTTCCCAGACGACAGAGTCGACAAACTTTGGTGGAGCGTTTGAAGAGATTACTTTATAATTAAAAAAAGTGAGGAAAAGGTGACAGAGTTTCTTTTTTAAGTCCTTTCATTCAATCAGTTCAACTCCTTCCACTCCCTCTGGTCTGTTCACAAACGCCGTTCTGCCTCTGAATAAACAGTGAGACAATGCTACAACTACACCAGGAAAGACACCAAGGTTCCATTACGAATGTGATCGAAGTGTGTTTCTAAAATGTATTTTTACCACGACATGTTTCTGAACACGAAAAATAACTAAATAGAAAACTTTTCATTCCCAGAATGCACTGAGATTTCTTTGGTTGAGATTATTAACATTCTAACCCGGGTGATACAACATCTAGAACCTGAAGGTAATTTATAATAAACCTAAATCCTGATAAAAACATTTACTCATTCAACACCTATGAGTGTTGGTAAAACATTTTCAACACATGTCAAAAAGTTGTAAGACAAATTTAAATTGTTGGTAAAAGTATTTTTGCATTTTCAACACGTGTCAAAAAGTTGTAAGACAAATTTAAAAAGATTATTTTCCTATGAAAATAACAAAGCTATTTCTCTACAAATGCTCTGTTTATTTTTATGTCTGAACATCTCTGACGGTGTTGTTTTCACCGAGTGTCTTCCAAAATTTCTAAGATCTAAGGGAAAAGAAAGAAAAAAAATCAGAAGGAGCTGGATTTAAAAAAATGTTTTTTTAATTTTAAAAAGGGTTTCTGTAAAAGTGTGGTTGAAAAATGATGCTAGCTCTGATTTTTAAATGGTTGAAAGATATGATCTGATAAGTTGTAACAAAGCTCCACACTTGACTAAGATCTAATGAAAAAAAACGTGAAAATTAAACATTTAAAAATGTAACATTTTGCCAATTTTATGTAGCATAGCTTTTAATTTCAAATACTTTGGAGCCAAATGAATCATTGTGATGGTCTAAGAACTCCATGCCACAGTAGTCTACTACAGTTAATACTGTAAATAATTGTATTTAGCCATTATTCCTGTTTTGGTGGTAAAGACAATTTCAGCTGTACACAAAGAAGCACCCGTCCCTGTCTTTGATTCCACCCTGCCTTCACAGAAGCATCTGTTGGATAAATAATGCAACAACCACAGCAAAGCTTTTTTTCCTCAAGAAAAAAAACACTCCTTTCAACTTTTTTTTTCCTCAAGAAAAAAAAACACTCCTTTCAAACATCCAACATTCACTGAAAGGTATTTTCTTTTTCTAAAGTGCATTTTTCTCTGCACAGGATCTGACAAATTTTTAAATGTTAGCAAGACTCGTTAGAAAAAATTCATCAACTCTGTGTTTTGCCCGTTCATAAATTATGGAAATTCAATTTACCTTGTGCACGGACTGTCAATTTGAAATCATAACTTATTCTCTAGGCTTCTCACAATCCTTCATTTCTCTGACACACACACACACACACACCTGTGGCAGCATATATCCAATGCACAGGTGACACAGCCCATGGATGGTGTGTATCACACCTCCACCTCCTTCACCTCTGCTTCCAGGGTTCAAGTCTGCAGACAACACACACACGCTGCGTCGCTGAGTCTCCGCCTGTGCAGAACCTCTGCAGCCAGAGTATCGCCACAACCGCCTCTGTGCCGCCGAGTGTGTGATCCTGGGGCTGCGCTCCAGAGGCTGAGGAGACTTCAGAGTGTTATGGATCATCTCAACAGCAGGGTGCTTTTTTTGTTGTTGTTGTTTTCCTTTCAAAGTCTTAGTGCAGTCCAGCAGATTGGTTGTTGATTTGTTTTGTTGTTGTTTTTTTTCACCCTGCCAAAAACACCTCAGTGCAGAAAACAGTCTTTAAAGACTTGTTCTAGAGAGAAGTCTATGAATTTTGCAGCAGCTTCTCTGAAATGACTCCACATTCGATTTCCTTCAGTATCAGCGCTCTGCAAATGACCTCCAGCTGCACTGTCCGTTCAAAGTTTCCCAGTCGCTGATCCTGGCATCGCTACCCGTCTTCATGTCTTCCTCTTCAACGTCTTCTCCTCTTCATTACGGTGGAACCGTCCACTTCAACCGTCGTGGTGTCTGCCTGCTCTCTCTCTCTCTCTCTCTCTCTCTCTCTGGGGCCTGTGATCAGCTGCTGGGACTATGTGGTGGCGGCGTCATGTAGTCCAGACTGGTGCTGGCTCAGGCTGCTCAGGCCACACTGTAGCTCCTGGCTGGGGCACTCATGGGAACTCTTCAACAGCAGAAGAATAGTAGGAAGTGCCTCCCACCACCGCCATCCCCTTTCAACACACATACACATGCACACATGCTCAAATGCATAACTGGCCACCGAGCAGCCAGGATGACTTTGTATGCCTGCCCCCGATAAGGCTACTCCGCTTCCTGAGTCCACACTATGAGGTTGTGAAAAGGTGCTAGAGCTCCCTGTCTTCTGCAAATGAAAATGGCGGTGACTAATGTCGGTGGCACGAGTGTGACGCGAGTGAATTAGTGTGTGAAAGACAGAACTTTTCTGAGAGAACCCTTGAGCGAGCAAGAGAATGAAAAAACCTAATCTCAGTGGAATTAAACGTCACAGGGTTTACAGTCAAGGTGAAAAGGATCGAAATAAAAAAATATATAGAAAAACTAAACTGTATAAAAGAGTTTTGTGATCACATTAGTCAAACTCCATTTCTCATCAGCTCACTTCCAGCTCTGCTCCCACACTCCACAGTCTGCGTCCAGACATTGCGCTTGTTTGTTTTGTTTT